GAGGAGGAGGAGAGAGAGAGAGAGTGTGAGAGAGAGAGAGAGAGGAGAGAGAGAGAGAGAGAGAAGCGGCGGCAGAGAGAGAAAGACGAGAGAGCGGCGCGACGAGCGATCGATGGCGTCTGCCACGTGTACAGCCCCGAATCCACGCGGCAGGCTCGGAGCGTCTCTGGTGGCCGCGCCGCACGGCGCGAGGGAAGAGAGGGGAGGGAGAGAGGAGGGAGGATGAGAGAGGAGAGAGAGAGAGACTGTCTTGACTCTGCTAAACACATCTAAGCGTCGTACGCACGCACGCACGCACGCACGCACGCAACGGCAACGCACGCACGCAGCACGCACGCAACCGCACGCACGCAGGCATCCCTACAGCATCCTCGATCCTCATTGACTGCTCCACGCAGCTGAATCCCTCCCCTCCCCCCTCCCCCTCACCCAGGCCTCCAGCCAGCAGCTGAATCCCCCCCCCTCCCCCCTCCCCCTCACCCAGGTCCTGCGTCCAGCAGCAGGTTCTGGAATCCCTCCCCCTTCCCCCCTCCCACCCAGCCTTCGCACAGCAGCGCATGCAGCAGTACGCACCACCACCACCACCACGCACCACACACCCACCACACATGTACAGCTGCTGCTAGACACACGCGCACAACAAATCCACACTACCATGCGCCACTATCATTGCGCCTTGCACATGCTCTCTCTCTCTCTCTATGTACTCTCACACACGTGTTTATCAACACACACCATCGATCATGAAGCGGACTACCTAACGTACGTTCGTGCATGACGACCCCCCCCCGGCCCCCCCGGCCCCCGGGCCAATACAGCAATCATCTTAAAGTTAAAGCATTAATCATCTTAGAATGACCGAGTCGCTCTAATAAGTCAAACCCTAATGAAACATTTACTTTGAGTGTTTCATCGACAGAACGTGCAGAACTTTTACGATCAACACCCAAGACGTTCATAAACACTGGAAAAAAGTCCCTTAAGAGACCTCGCTCACGTAAACAAGGTTTGGCCCCTGGAGCTTTGTTCCACATTACAACCAAAAAGATCCAACAAACGAGCAAAGGCAGTAAAAGCTTGAAAATAACCAATAATAACAATAATAATAAATAACAATCAAAATAAACAGTGTCTAGACAAAAGTAAACAAAATAGCCAGATCGTTTTCAATTTCACTGATGTTTCCTTCTTTTCAAATTAGCGCGAGTTAATGCTTTAAATCACCATACCAACCCACACAAGCCTGAATCCATCCACACACACACACAACACATTCACAAACATTTAAATAAATATGAAAAACCGGAATGAGAAGCAAAAAGATAATTGAAATATCGTATTTGTTTATCTATGCGTTAGTTCACGCCGCACACATTGACTGGGAAAATGCCGCGCATACCAACCAACACACAGATGCGACCCATCTTACACTGACAGCCAGTGACATATCTCACAAAGGGGGAGAAGAAAGAAAAGGGGGGAACAGAAAGGGGAGAGAGAATGGGGAACAGTGTTATATCTCGCACGCACGTACACACGCATATACACGCATACACTCACACACACGCACGCACGCGCACAGCTAACGCGTCGTCAATAATATTTCCTGTCATTACAATGGCCCCCCCGCGACCTTCGCCCGTCCACCGCTGATGACTCACTCACCATGTCCGCCCAACTTACGCAAGGACAACCGATACATAGAAACAAAAAAACTCGTCCAGGGTCGACTGTCACCAGGGTTATTGACTATCGCTACGGTTATGGACCGCTGCCAGAGTCAGCAATTCATTGAGTTAGCGATTGTCACCAGAGTAGACGATTGTCACTATATCCAGATTGTCACCAGAGTTTGCGATTGTCACCGGAGTTGGCGATTGCTACCAGAGTTTGCGATTGTCACCAGAGTTTGTGATTGTCACCGGAGTTTGCGATTGTCACCAGTGTTCTAGACGCGTCTCCTAAAGTTGTTGACAGAGTGGCTGCATCACACAGTGACACGCTCTCCAAACCATCACAACCGAAACATGCGCTTTGTTTTTATCTCGGCGAGTCAGTAGAAGAAGAAAAAACCACCGCTGCGGGTTCTTAAAAAACTCATCGCGGTAGTGCACAGCGCAGCAAGGATGGCTATTCTGCTAGCTAGCCAGTAGCTACGTGCAGCACGACAACACGGCGCACGGCAGGAGCTATTACCGCCAGGGGAACGTGACGAACGAGTTATCACGCACACACGCACACACACACACACAGTGACACACACGCACACACGCACGTACGCACACACAGTGACACACACGCACACACGACACTACGCCGCGAGAAAACAAACAAGTTTTCAATCTCGGCGCGCGGCGACTGGAGCGCAGGAAATCCTCAGCAGTCTGCGCTGGATTTACATACGCAGCGGCTGCATTTACATATGTATATCGCGCCCCTTCAGCCGCTGCTAATGAATAAGCGAATCCCACAGCATCACTGAAGCTGTACGAGATCTGCTGCTGATCCTGCCTACCGCCCGCCCGGTAGTCATGCCAACAGCTGTGACGCAGTTCCACGAGATAGCGTGTTCGTTCACGCGCACCTCTACCACGACTCTGCCGGAGTAAAGGTAGCTAGTGTCGACAGTACAGCCTGTAGCACAGTAGCGACAGAGAGATACTTCACACAGAGACAAGCCCCAGGGCACACGACACAGAATTCATGCGCGCGCGCACGAACGCACGCACGCACGCACGCACGCACGCACGCACGCCAAGGACTAATGCGCTCTCATTTTCTCACAAATCACTGGCACTAGTAATTCGTTAAACCTTCCGCGCACGACAGCCACGCGCCCTTGTAAATGGTTTAGCGCAGGCTACTTTAGCGAGCTGCTGCTACGCGCACCTGCGCACAAGCACGCGGTCGTTACATCTAGACTGCACGCCACGCCACACGAGCCGACGTCCTAACTAACAAACCCAGCCAACAAATCACACACGGCTCGCCTGCTCGGCTAAATCGAAAGTGTCCATAAATCCGACAGGAACACAGCGGTAGCGGCAACAACAGTAGTATTAGCTGCATCAGCAGCAGCAGCAGCAGCAGCAGCAGCAGCAGCAGCAGCAGCAAAGCAACAGCAGCAGCGGAAGCTGAAACAGCTGCGGTTTTGCCACGGCGACCTTAGCAACCAAATCAAAACACAAGGCAGAACGAGCATCCACCATCAGCAACAACAACAACAACAGCAGCACCAGCATCACTAGCAATCACCAGCAACAACAGTCGCCACAGCAGCAACGGCATCACATCTA